CTCGTCATTAATTTCTAGTTGTAATTGGAGATGATGGACCATTCCATCTCCTTGGGACACCAGATGCGTGTCTATATCGTCAAAAAGATGCATATATGTTTAATTAGTTCGAATCAGAATATTTAAATTCCTTTTTTATTACATTTTGAAACCTTATTATCGTCTTTTGAATATTAAAGTAATCTCTCTTTTTTTTTGTCTTTAATATTTTTCACTTTTGTAATTTTTTCTTTTCTATATAATGCAGTTTAAAAGTATTARTTATAATAATTAGTAGATATTATTTTCTCTAATAACTTAATATTTGTACTTTTGCTTTTTCATTTTTTTCATTTTTTTTATTTTTTTTATTTTTTGTAAATTTAAAGGCGTTATTTTAAATTCAATTTTATTGCAATTTTAAATAGAGATTTCATTATAATAAATAGAGAATTCAATTTGAAAAGTGCATCTACGAATTGGACGATTTATATGTCAGGCTWWTSTATCTCACTTGATTCTATAATTAATATAGTTTTCTTTTTGTTACAGGTGATCATCGTTGGATTTAACAACAAACACCTTTGTGATTTTCTTCTATTTGAATTCCTATAACTGTTTCATTTTTAATTATATTTATATATAATGGCATTTCTGAAGGCACACACACGTATATTTTATATTCGAAAAACTATATATAATTATTTAAAATTCTATCCTAATATAGGTGTACTATATATTCTATTAAAGAATATATAGTATTTATTCAATAAATATAATATTCATTCAAGAATATAGTAAGAATATTCTATCAATGAATATAATATTTATTCAATGAATATACTATTCATTCAAAAATATAGTAAGAATGTTTTTTATCAATGAATATAGTATTCCTTGATAGTATTGTACCGTCATCGCGTTAAGTACCTACTATCGTTCACTGGTGGTCAGGTTACTAACTAAGATATCTGTGGTTAAGCGAATAATGCATTTGAGAGCTTCTATGCAATTCTGTATTCTTTGATATGGTCTAATATATATAGGAGTTAGTAAAATAGAGTTCTGCTATTACCTACATTGCAAGTAGTAATGCGAACATGGTTAGACATTTTAAATAGTTACTTTTAATTATTAATTAAATTTGGTTAAGAGTTACAAGAGATGTTAACTTATAATAAATAATTAAAGTTACGAATGATTCAAGTAGTGATATCTGTTTTATGCAAGTTAAGTCATCCTATTGATTTTTTTGTACGGTTTCAGATAAGTTGCTCTTTAAAACTATCATACTATGTGAATATATTTCATTCCATTTAAATATATCTATAACAATAATAACAGAGTTTATATATCATAATTATGGTTTATAAAAATATTGAATAATTGTTTAAAATCTTATTACATATATTAGATTGAATTTGAATATGAGATGATTCTATGGCTATAAAAAATGATGGAAGTATACCCTACATTACCAAAATTTAAGGTGCAAGAATGTCAGGATGAAGATGATTTAACTGATATTGATGATGAAGTGTTTATTAGAGATGGAAAAAATGGAGGATTAAAATTAGATGAGGATGGTTTAGTTAAAAGACCACTTATGGCACCACGTAAAAAATATCGAAAATTTTATAAAGTTGGGGTCAATAGATTTCCTTATTATAAAACGCTATTTATACCCATTTGTTATGGTTTGATAGCATTGGTAATTCTATTAGGTTTAATTCTCCTTTGTATATACACTGCTAATATATTTCCATTGTCATTTGCTATGCTTAAAAAATGGATATCACATGAATTAAAGCCTTCAATAAGCAAAGTGCATGTAATTCCATGCACATCATTGTCATCAAAGATTATATGGTCAAGACGATTATCAAAATTTTCTTCAGTAGTTCCTTTGAAAAGTTTCGATGTTAATAAAGATGGAATCGAAGACATTATTGTTGGATTTAATACAGGTTCGCATTTTATCTATTTATTATTCTTTTTTATATTTATTTATATTATCATTTTTTTAACTTTTTTTTTTTTTTTTTTTTTGCAGATATCTATTTTGTAATCATAGCATGTCTTTATTATCGTTTACAATTACAAAGGTGAATAAATAATATGTTATGTTATATTAATAATAATAATAATTGATATAGATAATTATTTTGTTAAGATATGATAATGATATACATTATTTCATATTAGGTGTAAATGAAGAAAGTACTGTGAAATGTGATAATTTTGTTGAAAATTCGCTACCTTGCTTGGGTCAATTATTAGCATTGGATGGAAAAACAGGAGACACACTTTGGATTTATTGGCCTATTTATGGAATTTCTTCAATTGATTGTGAATTAGATATTACAAATGATAAAATTAATGATTGCATTGCTTCAGTAGAAGGTGGAGTTCTTTATGCAATTAATGGAAAAACAGGAATTCAGATATGGATAATATCAGATAATAAATTATCTGACGAAGATTCAACAATTTTTCGTATATTTGATGCCAAATTTATATCTGATACCGATAGAGATGGTATTGGTGATGTTATTGTAACAGGCTACACTGTTCAATCTGATTTATCACGTAGAAGTAAAATTCTTATTGTATCAGGAAAGAAAGGAAAGATACTATATACAATTGATTCACCAAAAGTCGAATTATTTTCATTACCACAGATAATTATATATCCAGATGGTGAAAATATATTTGTTTTAACAGCAAATAATCAAATGCAATCTGGTACTTTGTATATAGCATCTAGTACTAATTTCATGCACGGTAACTTGGTTAGTTGATTATAAATATACTATGAAATACATTGATTGTTATGTAATATTGTGATATCATATTATATATTATATTAATTAATGTTTATTTAGAAACTAAAGGAGTTGCATCATAGTACTGGAAAAGCAGCATTGTTACCTCTTGTTTTGGTAGACATAACGTTGGATGGAATTGCAGACATCGTTGCACCTATGTTTGACTCTACTATAATAGCTTATGATGGATTAACATTTAATCCAATATGGAATTACACTGTTCCTAATTCTGAAATATTAAATAGTCCGATACCTGGTTATTATAATGATGATAACATTCCAGATTTTATGATAAAACATACAATTGAAAATGAAGGATTTCCAAAATATTATTATACAGTTTCTATGATCATTGATGGACATAATGGACAACCTTTGTTAGAGAAACCAATGGAAGATATTTTAAATAAAAAAGTATCAGGTTTATCGGTTACTGTTGATGGTTTTGGCAATGATTGGTTTTTACATTGGTTTGGTAATTGCTTACACGACGACAATTTTAAAGGATCATACCAATTTTCTTCAAAAAATGACATTGATTTATGTAAAATGAAATTGAATAATTCAACGACTACTAAACTATTAGCATTGAGTCAACTTGTTGAACCACCTGGAATAACTTTATATTCAGAAGAATATGATTCAAATAATTCAATTGATATAGAAAAAGAAATAGATAAATATTTAGAATCATATCGTTATGAAGATACAATAGACATTGATAGTGGAAAAATGTATAAAGATTACGATAAAGGAGAAATATTTAAACATAACAGAGATGAGGATATGCTTGAAGAATCAGGTAATTATAATCAAAAGTCACCACCTGAAATGACATATGAAAATCATGAATCCAACTTTGAAGGAGATAACAGATTTGATAATAATTTTCAATTGAGTAACATGGAAAATATAGATACTGATAATACTTTATATCGTAAAAATAAAAATTTAGAAAATATCAAAGAATATGATGAAGGTGATGAACCAAATAATGATTATTTGCCAATAGGTGACTTAAGAGAGCAACGTAGACAAGTAAATAATAATAATAATAATGATAAAACAAATAAAGATTACGTTACGTCAAAAGTTAGAAATAAAAGGATAAAAAGATCAAATAATATATTAAATAAATCAATAATAAATTATAGTAAACAAAGAGAACAATCAAGTGGAATATTATTATTACCTTCTTTTATAAATTCTAAGGAAGGAAATTCTGTAGATTTGATTTTTACAACTTCTGCATCACCATTATTAGAAACATCTATTACATTGTCGCAAGAAGATTTAAAGTGTATATATAAAAATAAAATATCAGCGAAGAATAATAATATGCATTACAAAAAAAATGCAGATATTATTAAAGAATGTTTAAATGAACGTGACGACAATTATAATTTATTTGAAAAATTAATGAAACAAGATAATATTATTATTGCTCTTGGACAAATGACAGTATATAGAATGAAATTAGAATGTGTTTGTCCTGAAGATATGTTACCTAATCAAGTATGCAAAAGCATTGCATCGAAACAAAGTTGGTCAGAATATTTGGGATTATATGGTAGTGGATATTTTAAACCGTTATATAAAAATACTTAAATTTTAACAAAACAAAATATCTTATGTGACATATACTTTAATAATAATAATAATAATAATAAATTACAATTTCTGAGATATTAAGAAACTTAAGTACAAGTATCAATGTGAACAATTTAGATAATTATTATAAAGTATTAATCAGAATAATTATTATTTACAAGAAATATTATCTATAGTATAATACAGAATTAATTATGTTATATCTGATTCTGATTATACTGAAATTTCATGTGCCATTAAAATCTAAAGATAATATAATATTATAATATGATATATTATTATATTTTTACAGATAAAATTGCATATTTTATTAATCTTGATACTCTCTAGATGCCCTAAAATAGATCTTTATATACTCGTACATTTATCTAAATATATATTGTTTAAATAAATAATTTATTCGTACTACCATTATAAAAAAGAATACTGTATGGCATATTAGCACAAATTGTTCCTATTATTTGTTATTTATTTAATATAAAATGAAAATTTAATGAATCTAATAATTATTACTAAATATATGCATAAATCTAAATGATTTTTATAAGCCAAGTTCCTGAAATATAAATGCTGTTGTGTAATGTGATAAATATAAATAAATTTCCATATTAATCCATTAAAAATATAATATTTTTAATTATTATACTTCTATCTTAATAATATTCTTATATTTATGGATTATTAACAGTATTAAAAAACTGTATTTATATTTATTTTAATTTAAGCATACTATATATAAAAAAAAATAGAAAAACCCAAGGTAACACATTGCTTGTTTGATCAATATGTTCATTATCTTCTATAGTGCATGCAGTATGATTCTTTGCTGTTCTTTTTTGTTCACAATTAGTTATTGTGTATTTGATATATCAAGAGAAAATATTAAGATTAAATCAATACATTATTTATTCTCATGTATCTGTGGGCAATGAATCAAATAAGACCTACTTAATAGTTGCTTTCTTTATCTCTCTCTACTACATTTTATTTAAAATATAATATAAATTACAAAACTATGGCTACGTATTGTAAACCAATTGAGCTTATAATTCAACAAAAACATAATCATTTTCAAGGATCAAATCTTTGTCAGTATTTTCCAAGAATACAGAATAAAAATATACGTTATGACACTGAGGTATTGGACAAAGTTTTGAAAAATATGAAACAACAATATTGCATTTCAATGATGCAATCAAAGTTATTTAAAAATACAGGAACACAAACAGATTATAGAGAAAGTGAAACACAGACGATACCATGGGAGCCTCCATACAAAATACATCCAGGTAAGACTAAATATAGAAATAAATATAGGGTGTTATTAAAACAATTATATTTTTTGATTTAGGTCATAATCCAGAAGTATTAACTGTTGCTCATTTAACTTGGGGTCATGGATTACCAGCAGGAATGCATGAAACTGATATTATTAATAGAACAAAAATGAAAAGAGCTTGGGAAATGTTTCTTCCACCGATGGATACAGAAGCTAATATTAAAATACGAAAGTTTATAACAAAAGCTTTAGAAGAAGAGCAATGGGCTTTTAGAGATGCAGTAATTATATTACTTGTTATTTATTTTTATATTTATACAAATAACAGAATTATATAGTACATGTTTAATGTCTATTATTTTTTGTAAAAGGAAATACAATGCATAATGGATATGCGTCTTCAGTTAATGAAAAAAATTTCACGTTCGAAAGAATCTAAATATAACGAGAAGATAGAAAATCGTTTCAAACGTTTGAAAAATAATTTGGGCACCCGTAGAGATGACAAAATCAAAATTATTAGACAAAATTTAAAACGAGATTTGAGAAAGTTGCATAAATTGCATCATGATAAATCCCAGAAAAAAGATACTATCAAATCATATATTAATCGTGTCTCCGAATGTTATAGATCACGATTAGACGTTGAAAAATATTCTGTAGGAAAATTTAAAAAAATGAAAAAACAATCATCAATAAATGATATTAGTAATTATGAAGGTACAATCATAATTTTAAATAATTTATTCTTTTATTTTATACGTTGTCATTTTAATTGATGTTTTTTTTTAAATATGACAATTATATTTTATTTAGAAATAGAAAATATGAATTTGATGTCAACTAAATTATCAAATTATAAAGAACCAAAGTCAAAAATTGTATCACCAACTGAATTATGTGTACGTGAAACAAGATGGACTGATGATAAATTAAAAAAATTGTACATGGATTTAAAAGCAATGCGCTTAAATATTATATCTCCAGAGACACCGACAATAATGAAAAAGAAATTTAAAACTCCTGCATTACCAACTACACCATACAGAATTCAAGAACGTAAAGATACATTAATAGATCAAGCAGCGTTGTGTATTCAAGAAACAATCAGGGGTAGAGCAACTCAATGCATGGTAAAGTCATTCATTAATTTAATATGATATTTTTTATTTAACATTTGTTTTTGTATTTTTTTTTTTTTTGTAATAATTATATTCTAAATTTATTTTTTTTTATAGAGACACGCAGCAAATAGTAAAAGCAAAAATAATCCAGGCTCTTATAAATATAAACATTAGTTTTTAATCTTACTTTAATTTTAAATGTTTGAAATAGAATAATATAATCATTTTATAGATGTTTGAAGGTAGAAATAGATGTAGAGAATTAATTAAAGAACTTCAATCCACTTATAATATTAAGGATTATAATAATGAAGTACAGCAAATAGAAAAACAAGAAATATTTGATATTCAACAAAAACAACGTGATAGTTTATTACAAGAAGAATTGTTATGTGAAATTATTGATTCATTGGAAGGTGCAACTGTATGCGGAATGTTAGATTATTTAAGTAAAGTAAGAATGATTTTAATGTCATTCGTTGTTTGTATATACCATTTGTTTATTATTGTGTTACTTATATAATTTTGAATGAAAGGAACTGATAAGATTGAAAGATGAACGCAATGCACATATTTTTGGATTACTTGCTGAAAAAGAAAGATTAATGCGTGAAGCTGCCGAAGCTGGACGACGACAACTTGAACGTAATCGTCGTAGAGAATGCGATGAAATGTTCCAACAAATAATCAAAATAGATCAAGATACTGTAGAAATTTATTTAGATGATATTATAAGGAAAGAAATAGAAGAAATATCATGTCAAAATGCTGAAGAACATATTTTACAATTCTTTGATCATGTGAATGAAGTTTCAAATAATACAATGGAAAAGTATGTTAACACACAATTTTATTATTCATCATCAGTATAATTTAAATACTTATACTATATGTAGTCAAATATGAAGTATGTATATATGTATATATCAGAAAATACTAATTTACTAATATTAAATAAAACTGTTAGTTTGACAGATCTTGCAGAAGAAGAAATGATAGCAGATATGATTTATAATTTTGTTTTACCAGAAGTTGGAAAATTCAATGCTCGTGAACAGATAAAAAAGAAACAGCAAAGCTATTTACAAAGTGCACATGCAATATTGTATAAGAAATCAAATTCTTTACTTGTTAAAAGAAAAAATTCCGAAGAATTGAACGAAGAATTATTGTTGCAAAAAGATTACTCAGATACAGAGGAAAGTGTATAATAATTGATTTAAAAATTGAGTTTAGCTAAATTTAATTTATGAATAATATGATGAATACTTCTTTTTTTTTTTTTTTTATAAAAGATTCTATATACCTATGAATTTTATCTCAGCATGGAACCTTATAATTTTGTTTTTTTTTGTTACTGTTTAAATGTACATTCATTCCTTACATCTATGTTAAAGTTATATGTTATTATAGTCCATCCAATTTTTTTTTTTTTTTTTTATATATATAATACAATTTATATCACATTTTTACTTTAAAACCAAAAAAAAAAAAATGAATATGATTATTATTGATCTGATCTATAACAATATTAATTCTATGCCAGGAATGTAGTATAGAAGGAGTAAATCTTTTCTTTTCTTTTTACTAATACTCGGTATTTGAATATCTCTGATATATGATTAAATTTATGAAATACTGTACTCTATCTACTTTTGTCAACAAATTTGTATAATTTAAATATGTAAATATGTATAAATATAATTCATAAATTATATTAATTAAATAATAATTTCAAATGCACAGTATAAAGGTAACAATATTGCATTAAAATATGCCTTCGAACAAGACCTGACTATCTACAACAACAAAAAAACAAAAATGTTTTAATACGAAGTAGATGGGTATCCTTCTAACGTATTTCCTGCAAGAAGATCTGATATAAACTTTTTAAATTTTACATCTTTTGCGTCATTCGATGGTTTTCTTTCTACAATTAATTTACGCTTTTTAGCTTCTAATTCCTTTGTTGAATCTGAGTCACGTTGATTACAGATATCAATATGTTTTCTTTTGCAAGAATCTATTGTATCAGGTTTTTGCGTTTCTTCTCTTGCCCTACTCAATTCGGCAGTTAAATCGCCCATTTTTTGTTCCCATTCTTCCAAATGTTTTTTCATTTCTGCCAATTGCATATCTTGATCATTAATTTTCTTCGCTTGTTTTTGCAATTTTAAATTTTGCACTCGCATTTGTACCAATTGTTTTTTCATTCTCAATTTCATTTTAGTTATTTCAAATTTAGCATACATTACAGAAAATTTATTTCTTTTGGTACGACTGTAAATTTTCTTAAATGTTTGATTGAGTTTTTCCGTACTATAACTGTGTGATAATGAAGCATTATTCGAGCTTGCAGTATGATGTGAAATCATTAAGCTTCCACCAGGAAGCTCGTAAGAACCCACATTACTAACAACAGATGTACAAATACTATGTTTTAAATCTGGTAAAATTTTTTCATCAAAATGTTCCATAGCCATACTACTAATATCACGTAATTCTTGTAATATTTCATGTGCCCTGGGTGGTTGTTTCGAGTCACGAATTAAACGTAGAACACGAAAAATTTCATCGATTACCTGTAACATTAACAATGTTTTAACAATAAGTTAAACAACAATTATTATTATATTCATACTAAACTTTCTCATATATCATTTAATTAAACTACAACTTACTTTTCCGGGTATGAAACAACATAAGTTTAAGTCAACATATTTGATAAAAGTCATTGATAACATTGATATTCTTGTTTCTATTGCTGTTAAAATGTCACAATGACGTGCTAAAGGATGACTTCTTCGTTCTGATTCTCTTCGTGGTAATTGATTTTTAACTTTACGTAGACATTGTGCATGATATTTTTCCATAAGATTAAAACCACGATTAAGTAGTTTTCTACAAATTCGATCAAATCGTTTACATATCTGTAAATGAAAAAAACACATTTTTTTAATTTTATATCGTTTAACAATGAGAACATGATAAAATGTATAAAATAATATATATAAATATGTATCTTACAATTCTGTATTTAGAAATTTCATCATAAGTAAGGTTAGATAAAATAGTTTCCAGCACAATATCGGGAAGATCAACTATGTTTAACATGTTTAAAAGTTTTCCAGAAAATATTCACATATATCTGTAATTTGATATATACAAAAGGTCCAATGTATTTATTAATTTACGACAACATTATTTTTTATGTCACATGATAGAGTAATCAATGTAAATATAAACTATGTGTAACTAATAACAACAATATATATATAAAAAAAAATAATAATAATTACAATGAAATTAACTATATGTGATTTAAAAATATATGTATCAAAAATAATCTCAATTATACATTGACTGTTTATAATATTTGAAAAAAAAAAGAAAATGAAAAGAAAATCAATTTACTTTAAAATAAATTTATAAAAATATAGTTATGTATATAAAAATATTACATACAGATATATATTATGTATATATATATATATATATAAGAAGTTAACAGATAAAATTAAGAAAGTTAAGACATTAGTTGCTAATTATGTAAAATCTATGTCATCCTCATAAATAGACACATTGTATGATAATTAAAAATTTGTTTAGAAAAACAAAGAATAATTCTTAAAGATCATTTTGTATAGTATATAATATTAATACAAAAAGATGTTGAATATTTTCAAAGATTATGTTCTATATACTTCTTATATATTTATACATGAATTCATTTTAAATATTATAGTTTCAATCAAATGAACATTTCATTAATATTATTTCAATGTATCTCATACTCCTGAAAATTCACTATTTATGTATCATTGTCAACAGGGATATGCACTCATCACCACCAACTTTCAATTAAATTTATATTGTCCAATATAATAAAATAAGACGCAATAAAAACAATACAATATCGATTGTATTTTATAAAACTAATTCTCTTAGAAAACTATTCAATCGTCTCATATCTTAGGAAAATTCTAGATCATTCTTTAAACATACTTATTATAATAAACAAATTTAATAAGTTAATATTGGTCAAGTTCTTAAGAACAAATGTACGCAAGGATATATATTTTAGATACAAATGTATATCGGTGAGTATTCTTCTTTGAATACTCACCGATACATTATTATGCACATATGAACAATATTAAATTCTTTAGTGTTGCCCAATTTTAAAGTATGTCCAATTAAAAGTTACATTCGTAAAATGTAATGATCAGTTTCTATGAATTTTTCGACGTATCTAGGGACCCTATAGGAGGGACGCGCCATGTACATTGCTGGGGGGACTGGAACTCGTGTAGTCACGTGATTGCGCGCGAATAATTCAAACGATAAATTATAGATTAGGTTTGTACATTTATAATTGTAATTATTAAATGAGTAAATTAAACAACTTACACTTATAGAATACTACTAAAAAAACAATTAAATATAAATATCACAATAAAAACTATAAGTATTCTAAACCTTAAACTAACCACAGTTGTTAATACATACTAAAGATAAACATGGCTGCACAATGCAACGGAAGCTGTCCCCTCACATTTTCAGCCTAGCAATGTACATGGCGCGTCCCTCCTATAGGGTCCCTAGACGTATCATTTCATTCATAATTTGGATTGGTTTATTCATATTAAAGTTTCATTCTTATGATTTCTGAATGAAAATCTTAAATCATATGATTCGTAGTAAGATCTATAGTTTATATTATTAATGGTTGGATGGCGCGCATAAAAGTGGGTGCCGGTGAATATTACTAAAGTAAGATGTCGTACGTTGGGATGGGACGTGTTTTTAACATCGTGTGTTTTTATCTCCTATTATTAGGAGTTGTAAGTGCTAATAATCAACGAGTTGCTAAAGAATCTTTAGTAGAAAAGCTCGATGAAGAAAATTGGGATCGTATGCTTCGAGGAGAATGGATGGTCGAATTGTAAGTTGAAAGAAAACCATGGATGTGGCGACGAAGTCGTCAAATTTGATGGCGTGTAAAGAAAATGTGGCGTTGCTCCAATATTTTCATCTTATTTTATTTATACATTTATTGTTATATTTTTATCGAATTGTTTATTAAAAATGATGACTCAGTTGTATTAATACATTAAATTTGACGACTGATGTATATTAAATTTCAACATTTATCTTGTAACTTTTGAATGTAGAAAATGGACTTTTAATGATAACTTTAACAAAGATGTTATTTGTGATATTCGGAATTTATTTATTTMTTTAATTTTTTTTTTATAGCTATGCTCCATGGTGTCCAGCCTGTAAAGCTCTCGAACCAGTATGGGAGCATTTAGCTTCTTGGAAAGAAAAACTTCATATAAATGTTGGCAAAGTAGATGTAACTGATTCACCAGGACTTAGTGGACGTTTCATGGTTACAGCATTGCCTACTATTTATCAGTAAATTATTTATTTTAAATAATTTGTTAAAATAATATATGTTTTTTTTTTTATAATTATTATTTAATTATTATTATTATTATGTATATTATAGTGTAGTAGATGGCGTCTTTAGACAGTACAAGAGTCCAAGAGATAAAGAAAATCTTATTCAATTTGTAACTGATAAAACTTGGGAAAAGATTGATCCTATACCCAGTTGGAAAAGTCCAACTTCCATTCACATGTCTGTCCTTAGTCAATTCTTCAGATTATCACAAGTATTAAGGGTAATTAAACCCCCATTACTTTGATTACACTTCAATTAACGACATTTGTTAATTGTTTGTATTTTTCTTTTTTCTATTGGTTTTTTGTTTGTTTGTAGGGCATTCATAACAATCTCATGGAAGATTTTGGATTACCAACATGGGGAAGTTATTTGATTTTTGCAATAACAACTATTGTTCTGGGTGCATTATTGGGCTTGGTAATTGAAATTTATTACCTATAAGAAGCTATCATATTTTGTCATATTTGTCATTTTAATATTTATGGTGTATATATTTATAGATTATTGTATGTCTCATTGACTTGATTTATCCACCTAAACCTATGCAATCTCAAGGAAAGAAAAAACAACAGGATGGTAGTAGTGCAGCTTCGCAAGAAAAAAGTTCGGGTGATGATGAAATCGTTGAAAATGTAAAAGATGATTTGGTTGATGAAGAAGGTTCAGAATCAGAGGAGGTGGTGGTTAATGAAACAAATAGTAAAGAAAAAGATTCCAAAGCAGATACCAGCAGTCCGAATGTTCGCAAGCGTAAACCACGTAAAGCTGATTAGAGGTATTAATTTGTTAAGTGTAAATAATTCATGGTCTCAGAAAATTGCGCAGATGATGATATTTACGCATTTGTTGTTGCGATCCACAATTAAGAGTCGATCCCAATGTTGTAATGTTGCTATTTTGCACTTGACATTACACTCGTTAAAAAACAAAAACAAAAAAAAAAGAAAGAAAGAAAAATTAATAAGTATTACAAACAAGTATGGCAAATTTCAGAAAAGAAATAAATCAACGATTATTATTATTATTAATATTATAGATGTCATTTGTATAAAAGAAAATAATCGTAAAGCATTTTCGTGACTTTTTTTTTTTTTATTTGTATTATTAAATTCGATATTATTTTTTTAATTTTAATATATATATATATTATTTGATACAAACCAAAAGAATATATATTTTTCATTGAATATTTTCATGTGCTCGGTGCAATAAATAATAATTTATATAAATAATAATTCTGATGTTCAATATAATATTATTAATTTTACAAAAGTATTATTATACTTGTTTCGAGAAAGTTTATCTTTCAAAATTAATTGCAAAGAACTGATTTATTATAGCAGCTATATCAAATGATTATTATTAGTTTGGTATCTTTTTTTTCGTTTTGTCATTTTTATTTTTTTTTATTTTTTATTGGAATATGTTATTTATATTTATGTTATTTTTAATTTTTATTTAAGTTCAAATGTTTCAAGTAAATTGTGTCGTCAGTATTTTTTTTTTTTTTATTTTTTTTATTTTTTTTCATCAATAAACTTTATTTTTATGCAAGAAAAAAACTTTCAATGTGTTTGAGCATCTAACTGTGATGCCTAATGGCTTTTTAAATTTATTGTTGTTTTTTTAATTAATCAGTCTTATATGTTCTATCATTTAAAATGTTTTCACACATTTCACTTTTACAATACATGATAACGCTCAAGTGTATATTATTCAATGACAAATCGAAATATATATTATTTTAAGTAATTAATTAAATAATACCATGTGAAACAACAACAACAACAACAAATTCATAGTTTTTACGCATTTACATATATTAACATTAAGTTAATGACTCGTATAGAAATTAAGATAGCAGGATTATCGCAATATATTAAGAACCAATCGTAACAATTATATAAGTCTTTTACTTTTAAATATTTATGTAAAAAAAAAAAAGTAAAAAAAAAAATATTTAATATAATAACAAAGAGTTGTAGCAAATCATAAACAAAGAACTATTATTACTCAGGACATGGTTGAAATATACGTTTATAAATAATCGACACGTTTGTAACATTTACGAAATTCTCATCTTCTTCTTTTCCTTTTCAATTATTCTTATTATTATTATTAACGATCTCTATGATAATATTGCTCTATATAATAAATATGGCAATCTGTCTAACAAAGAAATATTTGTTATTTAGCATATAATCATCATTGATATTTATCTCGTTCTCACGCGTATATTCTGTGAAATAAGAAGATGCGAATGCGATTTAGTAGTAACATTTAAAAAAAAAAAAAGATGTAATAATCATCTCGTATCGCTTTCTAGTTATCTGTAAATATCTACGATTGTACACGTAAATGTATACGAGCGTATAATTTGCGATAATTCTTTCGTGTATTACCGTTTCTTCTACTATTATTATTACTACTACTACTACGACGATGACAACAAACAATAACGCATTGACATGTTTTTCTACGTTTGTTAAACATTGAAATTAGCGTGCTCGACAAACAAACAAACAAAAACAAAAATCAGTTTTCTATCGACATTCCAAGCTAGAACAAAACCCATGACAGCGGTAAATACACACACAATTATAATGCTTTTAACCAAAATGCTCCTCGTGGTCTTCTTCGTCATCGAGATAATAAGATAAAAAAAATACGTTACAATGGGGAATAAGGACTTAACTATGTAACGTTGACTTCCTAATAAACGCATTTAAGAGAGTAACAAAAGCAAATGCAATGTTACATTTAAAATGTCCACATACCAAAGTCCTTTTTTCCAAAGTGTTTTTGATTGATGTATCAAATGTAAAAATGATAATAATTACTACAATCGATAAAGTAGATATCCTATATTAATGGTAATGCAGAGTATCTACTTTATCATTATCATTGAAGATAATGTAGAGTGTCTATCTTATCGACATCATTGATTGTAAAAAATAAAGAGTAAATAAGAGCATTGATGGTTAAGCGCTATAGTCGTGTGCTATATTGAGATATATGTTCATATATTCTAAGGAACGATTCATTGACCGGCGAGCGCGCACGACGAGCTCTCGTTCTGTGTTCTTTCTCGACGAGGAGAGCTCGTTAGTGCGGATACGAGCGGAACGTACCTACGACGACGACGACGACGACGAAGACGAAGACGAGGAAAGGAGATTGACTACCAGTGGTAAAAATATTGCGGCTTACGGGTGCTACCATTTGCGTGAAAAAAAAAAAAAGGAAAAAGAAACAATTTTATTGAACAAGTTTTTTCGATTGAATTTCAAATTCAATATTTTTTCTATTAACGGGTTAAAGAAAAAGTTAGAAAAGAAAGGAAAGAAAGAAAGAAAGAAGGATGGAAGAGGGAGAGACAAATCGAAGCGGCGGCAAGCTTTCCTTCGCGGTGCGAGATCGATAAACGCGAGGACGTTACCGGAAGCCGAGTACCTCCGGCGCTACTTTTGTAACGAGAGGGGAATAACATTTCTTCTTTTCTTTTGATTTTTTTGTTCATTCTTCTTCGTAACACGCGGAACAACACCTGTCGTTCTATTATTCTAATGTTACTCTGACAATGAGATAAAGTAAAAAGAAGAAAAGAAAAGACAAGAGAAAAAGAAGAGAAACGAGAGAGAGAGAGAGTGTGGGTGAGAAAGAGAAGAGAAGAGAAGAGAAGTGAAGTCGGAGGGTTGAAGAAGAGGGATGATGATGGTGGAGGTCGACGAGTAGGCGTCCGTCCGTCCGATCGAGCGGAAACCTCCCTCCTGGCGCTTTGGGTGCGAGGGATGCGGAGAAGGAAGGCTGCCGTCGGCTTTTTCCGGCGGCAAGTACGCGCCGCCGCGATGATGCCACGCGAGGAGGAGGAGGAAAAGGGAAGAAGAAGGGTAGGGAAGGGTAGAAGGGAAAGAGACCGTTCGTCACGGTTGCTGCTGTCGTCTCCTGCGAGGACGTCCGAGGATGTCGTTTTGTATCCCTCTTACACTTGCTACGATAGACGATGAAACTTATTGGAGACAAAAAGTCGTTCGTCTTCTTAGTTAATAAAACTAATTGGTGGTGTTTGTCGATAGACGACGATCATTATTTGTCAGGATTATTAATAAAATTCTTCATTCGATCGGAATAAACAAAATAAAAGGTGCGGGTGAATCATGAAGGAACACGGTAATAGTAAGCATTCGGCGGAAGCGCCTACGAAGACCCTCAAGTCTTTATTAAAGAAGCCCGGCCAGACTAAAGGCAAAACTCGAAAGAATCGCGTGGTTATTAATGAAAAATTAAATGAATTCTTTGCTGCCGATTATATTATACTTATTAAAGAAGAGTGTTGCGCCGAATACGAGGAAGATTGCGACTGTTGTTGTCAGGAACACGAGTTCATACGTTTGGGTAATTGTAAGGAGTGCCGGGCTGAATTGAATCTTCATTTTGGCGTTACGGAGGATGGTCGTTACGGTGGAGCAGATGGGGAGGCAGACGAAGAGGAGGATGAAGACGAGGATGAAGATGAGGATGCGGTTGATGAAGAAGAGGAAGACGACGATGACGATGACGACGACAACCAAGAGGAGGAAATCGTTGTCGTTGATTCCGTTAATGCTGCAACTACTGCTGCATGTAACATAAACGTTAATATCAATGCAAATAATGTAGAAAATTATCAACAACATCAACATCCTCCTCGAATTCCCGTGGATGTTCGTAAAAAAGATGATACTACGGATGATGCGATTATTGCGTGCGAACTCGAATCGAATGTCGTTGAACACAAAGCTGAACTCGAAGTCGAACGCGAAACGAAAGAGTCGACTGATCGGCAGGAAGTGGTGCCGGCTATTGTTCCCGAGAATCACACAGACACGGCTGTTCAAGGTGAAGGAGCCGAGCGTCAGCAGGAGACGCTCAGTCCTCCGGAAGGTTACAAGGACGTTTGCGTCGATGGTGCAACGATTTTGGATGACGGTGATCGTCATCAAACGAGACTATTGCCACCCCCGCCAACTTGCACCGATTGCGATTATTATCACCGTAGGAAAACTGGTAAGCCAATGAACTTACGAATCAACTCTCTGAATCTTTTTATTTTATTACTTTGTATAGAGTCCTTTTCAATGCCACGGTTACGAGACGAGACGAGACATATTTTCTCTCTATATAGTTCGAGATAATCCTGTTTCTACCTACGCGTCCCTTTTCCCGCGTTATCGAATATCCTTTCTCGCCATACGCAGCCCTCGCACCCTTTAAACGCCCTCGCAAAATTATCACAAAAAAGAAACACCTAACCACCCTTCTTCCATTTGGCGCGTCTTTCTCATCCCCTCGTACACAAAATAATTATCGATATATCGATTTTTATCACACCACGTTTCTCGAGGTGAGAGAATAATTTTTTCCAATTATTTTGTTCACATCCCCTTTTTCACTACCTTTTTTATTTTGTCTTTTTTCTTTTTTTTCATGAAACCGTTTCTTTAATTCTCCGCGTACGTACGATCAATGCGCGAATGTAAGAAGAATGATGGCGGGAGAGAGAGAGAGAGAGAGAGAGAGAGAGAGAAAGGGCAACAAAATTTTTGATCTAATTTTAAAGTATTTGAATTTTTCAATTATTTTGTTCACATCCCCTTTTTCACTACCTTTTTTATTTTGTCTTTTTTCTTTTTTTTCATGAAACCGTTTCTTTAATTCTCCGCGTACG